ACATTTTCAGCTCATTTAGGTGAATATCAAGCAGTGTGGTTGCTGGGTCTGATGGTAAGAGCGTGTTTAATTTTGAAAGAAACTGCCAAACTGTCTTCCAAAGTGGCTTTACCATTTCGCATACACACCAGCAATGAATGAGAGTTCCTGTTGCTCCACATCCTCAGCAGCATTTGATGTTGTCGGTGTTCTGGATTTTAGCCATTCTAATAACTGTGTAGTGGGTATTTGTTTTAATTTACACTTCCATGACAAAGGTAGTGGAGCATCTTTTCATGTGCTTATTACAATCTGTCTATCTTCTTTGTCTGTTCAGGTCTTTTGTCCATTTTTTAATGAGTTGTTTGTTTTCTTATTGTTGAGTTTTAAGAGTTCTTTGTATATTTTAGATAACAGTTCTTTATCGAACATGTTCTTTGCAAATATTTTGTATGAGTCCAAGGCTTGTCTTCTTAATCTCCTGACGGTGTCTCTCACAGAACAGTTTTTAATTTTTATGAAGTCTGGTTTATCAATTTTGTCTTTCATGGATTGTGCCTTCAGTGGCACCTAGAAAGTCACTGTCACCCTCAAGGTCATCTAGATTTCCTCTTAAGTGTTTTACATGTACACGTTTTACATTTAGGTCTATAATCCATTTTGAGTATTTTTTTGCATGTAGATGTACAGTTGTTCCAGCATCACTTTTGAAGAGACTGTTGAAGTCTTCCCTTCACTTCAGTCTTCTGGAAGAGATTGTAAAGAGTTCGTATTATTTCTTACTTAAATGTTTGGTAGAATTCACCAGTGCACCTATTTGGGCCTGGAGGTTTCTGTTTTGAAAGGCTATTATTTATTGATTCAGTTACCTTAGTAGCTACAGGCCTATTCAGTTTGTCTATTTCTATTTGTGTGAGCTTTGGCAGATTGTATCTTTCAAGGAATTGGTCCACTTCATCTAGCTTATCGAATTTGTGAGCATAGAACTGTTCATGTTATTACTTTATTTTCCTTTTAACATCCATAGGTTCTATAGTGATATCCATCCTTTTTTTGTGTGTTCTGTCCTTTTTTTTTTTTTTTTTGCCTGCATAGAAGCTTATTGATTTTATTGATCTTTTCAAAGAATCAGCTTTATTTCAGTGATTTTCTCTATGGATTTTAGTTTTTGATTTTATTAATTTCTGCTTTTATTTTTATTATTTCTTTTATTCTGCTTACTTTAAATTTAACTTGCTCTACTTTTTCTTGTTTCCTAAGGTGGAAGCTTATTGATTTTAGGTCTTTCTTCTTTTCTAAGATGCATTTAATGCTACAAATTTTCCTCTTGGCACTGCTTTTACACATCACACACATTTTGCTATTTTGTATCATTATTTTCATTTGGTTAAAAGTATTTTAAAATTTCTCTTGTGATTTCTTCTTTGACCGTGTGTTATTTAGAAGTGTGTTCTTTATTCTCTAAGTATTTTAGAATTTTCCAGCTATCTTTCTGTTACTGATGTCTAGTTTACTTTCTTTGTGGTCTGAGAGCAGACATTGTATGATTTCAGTTTTTTAAAAATTTGTAAAGGTGTGATTTTTGTTCAAGAATGTAGTCTATTTTGATGAATGTGTCACATGACCTTGAGAAGATTGCATAATCTGCGGTTGTTGGACGAAGTCACCTATAGATGTCAATTAAGTTGATTGATGGTACTCTTGAGTTCCACTATGTCTTTACTAATTTTCTGCTGATGGATCTATTCACTTCTTTTAGGGGATGTTGAAGTCTCTAACTATAATAGTGGATATGTCTGTTTCTTCTTGCTGCTCTATTAGTTCTTGCCTCACATACTTTGTTGCTTTATTATAAGACAGATATACCTTAAGGATTGTTACCTCTTCTTGGAGAATTACCCCTTTATCAATGCCCTGCTATATCCCTGATAATTTTTCTTGCTTTTGCTCTATCTGAAATTCATATAGGTACTCCAGCTTTGTTTTTGATTAGTGTTTCCATGATACACCTTTTTCCATCCCTTTACATTTAACCTATATGTGTCTTCATATTTAAAGTGAGTTTCTTATAGACAATATATAGTTGGGTCTTGTTTTTTCATCTACTCTGACCATCTCTGCCTTTTAATTAGTATACATAGGCCATTGACATTTAAAGTGATGACTGATATAGTTAGGTTAATATCTGTCTTATTTGTTAATGTTTTCTATTTGTTGCCCTTGTTCTTTGCTCTTATTTTTCTCTTTGGTCATCATTAAAAAAAAAATTTTTTTTTCTGTCATTCTCCCTCCTCTGAGACTCAAATTACATTTATGTTAAAATGCTTAATATTGTCTCATAGGGCATGGATGCTCTTTCAGTTTTTTTAGTGTTTTTCCTCTGTGTGCTTCATTTTGGGTTGTTTCTGTTCCTGTGTATTCTACTTCACTTATCTTTTCTTCTGCAGTGTCTAAAGTGCTGTTAATCTCTTCAATGTGATTTTTATTTCATTTACTATATTTTTCATCTTTAGAAGCTTCATATTATATGTATATGAAAGATATATACATAAAAAAAGAAAGATATGTATTTATTTTGTGTATCATATATATCATATATCTTTTATTTCTCTCTGCTACTTTTTGGTTGAATGCTGGATATGGGAAATTTTATTTATTGGTGCCTGATTTTGTTTTTATTTGTTTTTTTTTTTTTGAACCTATGGGTACTGAGAGCCATAGGTGATTTTTATTTTACTTTATTTATTTTTTTAAATTTTTATTTATTTATGGCTGCATTGGGTCTTTGTTGCTGCACACGGACTTTAGTTGTGGCGAGCGGGGGCTACTCTTCGTTGCGGTGTGTGGGCTTCTCACTGTGGTGGCTTCTACTCTTTGTTGTGGAGCACGGGCTCTAGGCATGCAGGCTGCAGTAGTTGTGGCTCGTGGGCTCTAGAGCACAGCCTCAGTAGTTGTGGCACATGCGCTTAATTGCTCTGCGGCATGTGGGATCTTCCCAGACCAGGGCTCATACCCGTGTCCCCTGCATTGGCAGGTGGATTCTCAACCACTGCACCACCAAGGAAGTCCCACCTGATTTTGTTATATTCTTTTAAGTAGTGTTGGACTTTGCTCTAGTGAGTAATTAAATTATTTGGAATAAGTTAGATTCTTTTTTTTTTTTTTTTTTTTTTTTGGGGTAAATGGGCCTCCCACCACTGCGGCCTCTCCCGCCACGGAGCACAGCCTCCAGATGCACAGGCCCAGCGGCCACGGCCCACAGGAGCGGCGCGGCATGTGGGATCCTCCCAGACCAGGGCATGAACCCGTGTCCCCTGCATTGGCAGGCAGACTCTCAACCACTGCACCACCAGGGAAGCCCTAAGTTAGATTCTTTTGAGGCTTGCTTTTAAGCTTTTAAGTGGATCTAGGGCAGCCTTTAATATAGTACTTATTTAACCCTACTACTAAGATTATGCTTTTCTAAAGACTCTATTGCCTCAGGTAGTAGGAACCATTCTGGCTGCTGAGAACACAGAGTATTTCTGGCCCTATGTGAGGTCTGAGATTTGTCTAGCCTATAGCTTTCTGGAACTTATTTTCCTGCCTGTGGGAAATTTTCATCCACACATGCACAGATGAATGCGTAGCCAAAGACTTGAAGGAACCCTTCTGTAGATGTCTGCTTAGTCTCTCCCTGTGCGGGTTCTTCTGTTCCAGTATTCTGCCTTACAAATCCTTGCTGCCTTGGCCTTCCTAAACTGAAGTCTCTGTCTTCGCAACTCAGCAAGAGGGAAAACCAAAAACTCTGAGTTCTGATATCCCCATCCCTACTCTGTGACTTTGGAACTGTTTCTAGCTAAACTAAGGCTCACCTATTTTATTTCTTCTATCTTTGGGGTCACTGTTTGCCAGTGTCAGAAACCTTTGTTTCCTATTTTTGGTCTGTTTTATAGTTTTTTAGGGTAAGAAGGTAAACCTTGTCATGGTTACTCCAAAATGTCCATAAGCAGGAGTCCTGCAGTTGGCATTTTGCATTTCCTTTCTTCTGTTTAGAGGTAATTTTATAGGTTGTTTTTGCTGACATGTAGGGGGTGTGGTGGTCTTTGCTTCCTCGTTTAAGTCATTGTCTTTCTTAGTATCTTGCTAAGAAGCCTCTGTTGCTTACATAGGAAATCATGTGTTGCTGGGGACAGTTTGGTTCTCTTCTTTGTAATAGAGGACGCGATGTCCTAAGCAGAGGTGTTACAGATTTTGCCTCACATGTGGCATCATTTCTTAGAATACGCAACAACTTGGCCATTGGTTTTTCTCCCACTGCATGTGGTTTTAGGCATATTCTTCAGCTGATGAATTCACCACCTTCTCCATTCTTGGGTCGTGAATCTGTAGGCTTGAATTCTGTTCTGAGAGCCAAAGCTTTGCAACATGCTGAGTTGGTTGGTTTGCTGCCTGGAAAATTGTTAGGGCAAAATTGATACTTTGGGGAAGGAAAGAGGCAGATTTTCAGATGAAAGATGTTCAACTCCAAATAATACAAAAAAAATTTGGCTTATTCTAAAGGCATGGGTAGAATTAGATGTATCATGAGAAAGGGAAAGAAGTTCAGCCCATAAATAGTGGTGAGTGGGTATCATAAGACTACAAATAAGTAGGGTAACCCTATAGCCTGTTTGCTAAGGACAGTCCTGGTTTATGCCTGTTGTCCTGCAATGATTATTAATAACATGCCCTTTCACTGTTGAAAGTATCATGGTTTGTGATGGTTTTATACCATATGACTATATATATATATATATATATATATATATATATATATGTATATATATATATGTATATATATGTCATCCTACTTACAAAGAATGGTTTAAAGAATACATGGTAATTGTTAATTCTTTGGTTCTTGTCATTCTTCTTGAATGATGGATTTACTGTTTACTTTGTATTTTAGTGAAATAGTATTCAGTGACCGATTAAGTGTGTGTTGGGTGTTGTTGTTGTTGTTGTTGTTGTTGTTTTAATTTTTGGTATTTTTCCTGCAGATGATCTCAATGCCACCCACCAACACTGTGTTTTGGCTGGTTTACCACCTCGGTTTAGTTCCACCCACCGAGTGGCAGAGGTAAGTGTAAATAAAAATGTGACTCAAACTTAATTGGATGTGACAGAAGTGGTTGCATGAGCAATTTATCATAGAACTTTGGAAGAATATTTGATAGGAAAATTGCTTCCATCTAACTAGACTTTAGCCTCTATTTACTTGCTTTTTTAGCTTTGAGTTGTGTTGGATCCAGTTTTAAAAAGTGTGTTCACAGCCTGGGATAAGTATATTTTGCTTCTTTGGGGTTATGTTTCTTGGAAAAGGTGCCAGCAAAAGGGCACCTTGGCAGGTGTTGCTGGTTAGAGATTTTCTAAGGGGTTTGTATCTGTCAAGGTCAAGGGCAGGAGATGGCCAGAACAAAATAGTAGGTTTGTGTGCTTGTGCATGTGTTAGCTGTGACTGGGCTCAGATGGTTGAGAATTTATATTTCCCTTAACTTTTGGGTCAGGCTTCCAGGCATGTGAATGTAAATTAAGGAGAAAGTTACGGTGGTGCCAGGGAATTTCCAAACTCCCCAGTTGTGTTTCTAACCCAGACTTTATTGCTAAATTCTGCCACCACTTGCAGTGGCTGATAGTCAGCTGATTAGACTAGTTCCGAATGGAAACTTAAGAGATGAGGGAAGCCTTTAGTCGTCACCCTGGAGTATTGTGTGTGCTCCGTTAAGAAGTGTTCCAGAGAGCAGGGGAATGATCATGAAAAGGATTACAAGTTGACCTCGTATCCAAGCTTGTCTTCTGTGCTTTGCTTTTATAGCTTGACTTTTCATTGTACCACAAGGGGACCAGTGTGAGAAAGTTGGGCAGACGGGATACAATAAAGTGGCAGGGAAACACAAGCACAAGACCTTTCCAGTCCTGAGACTGTGTGAGTCTATAAGGCAGTGTCATGTCTTTTGGTATTTAGGTAGCTTTTCTAGTGGACTGCTCATTTTGCTAGGTGGCAGAGAGGACACGAGTGTCTGTTTAAATCAAGATGCCAGCAAGCCCATCAAGCGTTCCTTCCCCCTTTTCTCCCTTTCTTCTCTCTTCTATTCAATCATTCATCTAAATATTTGAGTGTCTGTTCTGTGCCCAGTAGCACTAGAGGCATGAGAGAGAGAAAGCCATCAACGTGACAGGTATGGCCACTAGCTTTGCTGAACTTCCATTTTAGTTTGAGAGACAAATATTAAATAGATAAAAACACAAATAATTATCTTAGAGACCTAAAAAAGTAAGTCCTGTTAGGAAGGAAGGAAGGAGTGAGTGAAGGAAGGCAAAAAAGAGTGAGCAAGCATTTATAGAGCATCTAATACGTGCTTTGTATTGTACAAAAAAGACTTCATTTTTTGTATAATACGAGATGATACAGACCTCTGTCTTTCTAGCTAGAACTCTCCTAAGAATTCTTTTGAGTACGTGGCTACTTATGTGTATCTTTGCACCTTTCCTAATCGAATCTGGAAGAGTGGACAAGACGATTAGTGCTGTGCTCAGAGGGTTGGTACAAAATGATGAAAAAGAAGTTTCACAAAATGTATTTGGTAAGGATGACAATCATATTTAATTCATAGGGTTCTTGTGAGGATTAAGTGAGTTAATACGTGTAAGTCTTTTAGAACAGTGGCAGGTATAGGGTATGCATTCAAAGAATGTTAGCCACTACTACTATTATTAAATTACTACCACTGCTGCTGCTGCTACTACTATTACTACTACTGTCTTTTCAGTTATCCTGATGAAAAGCTAGTAGGAGACAGGAGCAACAAAAGCTCTTTGTGTGGAAGGCTATACTGTCTCCATTTATATACTAGAATGTATGTAATAAAGCAGGAGAACTTAAGTCATCAGTGAGTCTTTAACTGGAGGTGTTGCTATTAACTGAAAGCTACTACTCAGAAGAAGGGAAGTAATTTTAGTTCTTTCATCCATTCTGCAAACTTTCGTTGAAATTCCCAGTGCTCACGGTATTCTTTTAGACACCTGTGAACAGGTAGATTGCAGAATAGAGAGTAGCAAACAGCATAAGGCTTCACGAGTGACATGACATGTAAGACTTGAACATGTAGGGATTAGGGGATTTTAGGACATTTTAAGACATTTAAGAGTCCTCATCCCATTAGGTGGAAATCTTGTGATCGGAATGGGATGGGGATACAAAGGGAGTATTGAGTGGCTCAACTTTGACTGAATCCCAGGATGCCAGAAAGGGAGTGTTGGCAGATGAAGGCTGATCCCTGAATGACTGGATTGTGAAAGATCTTGGATATCAGGTTAGGTGTGTTTTAACTTAAGTTGGTTCAGGTGGGGGTTATTGATGATTTATTTATCGCAGTAGTGACATATTGGAGATGTCTTTAAGAAGATGAAAATGTTAGAGACATGAATTAAACCTGTTGGTCTGAACTAAGGTCATGGCAACAGGAAAAAAGAAGAAACTCCCTTGACTAATGTAGGAGACATAGTGACAGACTTGGCAACTGATTGAAGTGGAGGGAGGAATGTAAGAATGAATGATTGAGTGGATGAACAAATGAATGAATGAGTGAATGAATGAACACACTAACCAGGTAACTCTTTATTGGATGCTTGTCATGCGCTGGGCTTTTGGGTGACTCTGAGGTTTCAAGCTTGGGTGATTTGGAGATGACATTACCATAAGTAGAAATAGGGATCTAAGACACGAGGGGAAGACAGTAGTTCAGTTTTGAACAGGCTGAGTCAGAGCTGCCAAGAGGAGAGGTCCAGCAGACAAATGTAAATTTGGGACTAAAACTTGTGAGAGATCAGGAAACCTTTCCTTCTACACCTCCTATGATAAATACACACATTCAGAATGCAGTTTGAAAAGTACCCCTCTAACCTTATTTCCTTTTTTTTCCAAGTGGACCATCTTAACTAAAGTAGCAGTGCTTTCAAAATATCCTGAGGTTTAGCTTTCTCTGCTTTAGTCATAGCTGTATTTGTATCTTCTAATTTTTAGGCAAAATTTTGAGTGTTAATCAATTTTTTAAAAAGAGGTGGATATGCATAGTGATAATAATAATAATATAATCCCAAATCTGTATCTTTTATATTATCTCTACTTCAGTTCAAGCTTATGATACTTTACTAATTAGACATACATAATGTGAATGATGTGACTATCCTGCATTCTATATTATAGATCAGGGTCAGCAAATTCTATGGCCTTTGGGCCAGCCAGCTCTTTTTGTAAATAAAGTTTTATTGGAACACAGCCACGCTCACTTACTTACGTATTGTTTATGGCTGCTTTGGAGCTACCATGGCAGAGCTGAGTAGTTGAACACAGACCTTATGGCCTGCAAGCCTAAAATATCTACTATCTGACCTTTTTAAGAAAAGGTTTGCTGACTCTGTTTTACATGATCCTGTGTATACAGGCTTTAAAGTTAAAAGGAATTTGTTTTAAAAAATCATCATTTTAAGGGTAACTTTTTATTTCTACCCAAAATCAAAAATGATAAAATTCAGTACTGGTAAAGTTACAGTGAAACTGTACATTCATACACTACTGGTAGTTTTTCTAATTAGTATATTTTTTGGAAAGCTATATGGGGATATGTGTAAAGCCCCATAAAAATATTCATATCTTTGATCTCATAACACTGTTTTGGGGAATCAAACCTAGGAAATAATTCAAAGGAAGTATATATAAAAAGATATTTATCTTGTATGATTAACAGTAGTGAGAAGTTGGACAGAACCTTAATGCCTGTATATTATGTGACTTGCTGATTAAATTGTTAATGTCACCTCATTGAGCAGCATTGACCATGGTAGTTTTGAATACTTATGTACAAACAGTGAAAAGTAGCATGTACATTGGTATGTATATATATATTCATTACAGCTGTGTGTGGGTGAAGAATTACATGCAATAAAAATAATTAACATAGAGTATGGCGGCAGGATTATGTTTTTATCTTATTTAAAACTTTTAATTTCATCTTATATCATTGTTTTCAGTAATAGAAGAGGGAAAAGATGTTTTTCTCCAACACTGCAGTTAACGTTATGGTTTCCCTCAACACAGAGAGGAAAAAAATCCATATGCAACTTTATAGCCCTCACTTTTTCTACAAATGTCCTTTCCTTCACACAGTATTAAATTAGACTTCTTTTCTGTGCCAAACAGAATGATTCGCTATTTTCTGCCTATTCACAATGTGTAGGAAACAGATTGTCTTAAGGAAATGTTGTTCTGAAATTCATTTTAGTTAATCAGAGAAGAAATCTATTCAGTGTTTGGTTGCAAAATTGTGACTAGAGTATGTCTGATGACTCGACCTTTATTTGATTTTAGTTTTTTTCTGGTTGTGACAGAATGTTCTTGGGATGCAACACAGAATATATGTATTTTTAAAATTTAAATTCTATGTATAATTATATTTTGAATAGGTAGTTACGCAAATGGTTCAAAACTCAAAAAGTACCCTAAGAGTGTGCAGTTAAAACCTATTTCTCCTCACACCAGCCAGCTCCTCTTCCCCAGAGGCAACCAACGTTATCAGATTTTTGTTATCCTTTCAGTGATACTTAATACATATATAAGCAAACATGTATGTAATTTTTAAAATTTCTTATATAAATGGTAGTCTACACACTATTCTGCACTTTTTTTTTTTTTTTTGCGGTACGTGGGCCTCTCACTGTTGTGGCCTCTCCCGTTGCGGAGCACAGGCTCCGGACGCTCAGGCTCAGTGACCATGGCTCACGGGCCCAGCCGCTTCACGGCATGTGGGATCCTTCTGGGCCGGGGCACGAACCCGCATCCCCTGCATCGGCAGGCAGACTCTCAACCACTGCGCCACCAGGGAAGCCCCTATTCTGCACTTTTTGTTTTTTATTTTTGTAAACCTTGATGATAATTACTTAGCAATATGCAATTTTTAGAGTAGGGAATTTTTTTTAAAGGTAGGATACAAAAGCATAAGCCATCAAAGAAAAAATAGGTGAATTGGACTTTATCAAAGTTAAAAACTTTATGCGTCAAAGGGTACCAGCACAAACGTGAAAAGACAGAATGGGAGAAAATATTTGCAGATCATACATCTCACAAGGTGCCCATATTTAGATTTATATAAAGAACTCTTACAGCTCAATGATTTAAATGATAAATAATCCAGATTTTTAAACAGGTAAAGGATCTGAATAGACACGTATCCAGAGGAGATATACAAGCGGCCTATAAACACATGAAAAGATGCTCACCATCATTAGTCATTGGGGAAATGCACATCGAAACCACAATGACATACCACTGCACACCCGCTGGAATAGGTATAATCAGAATGACAGTAACAGGTGTTGGTGAGGATGTGCAGAAATTGGAACCCTCATACGTTGCTGGAGGGAATGGAAAATGGCACAGCCACTTTGGGAAACGGTCTGGCACTTCTTCAGAAGGTTAAACTCAGAGTTACCCTATTGCCCAGCAATCCCATGCCTCGCATACACACCCAAGAGAAGCGAAAACTCGTACATGAATGTTCATAGTAGCTTAATTCGTAATAGCCAGAAAGTGGAAACAGCCCAAATGTTCATCACCTAACGAATGGAGAAACAAAAGACAGCATATCTGTACAGTTGAATGATTATTTGGCAATAAACAGGAACGGGGTACTCACACATGTACAACATGGATGAACCTTGAAAATATACTAAGTGAAAGAAGCCAGTCACGAAGGACCACATATTGTATGATTTCATTTATATGAAATATCCAGAGTAGGCCAGTCAAATCTGTAGATTAGTGGTTGCCTAGGGCTGGGAAGGCTGGTAGAAATGGGAGGGGGTGACTGCTAAAAGGTACAGCGTTTCTTTCTGGAGTGATAAAAATGTTCTAAAGTTAACTGTAGTGATGGTTGCACAGCTCTGTGAATGTACTAAAAGACATTGAATTGTATGCTTTAAGTGGGTAAATTTTATGACATGTGAATTTTATATCTCAATAAAACTGTTACCACTCCCCATGCCCTCCCAAAAAACCAGGCCTGATTATAGGTTCTTTACATCAGATGAAAATATATATATTTTCATCTGAGGTAAAGGAAAAATATATATATTCCCCCCTCCTTTTTTTTTTTTTGGTTGCAATCATGGCTCCACCAGAGTTTGTTTAACTGGTCTTTTATTGATGGGAAATTTTATGTTGTTTTTAATCTTTTATTATAGTAGATGGCATTTCAGTTAATTACCTCTTACGTAGGTTACTCCATACTTGGGAAAGTAAAGGTGCAGGTAGAGTATGTTTATAGACAGAATGTCATTAAAAAAATGTTGTCGGGTTGTCTGTGGGACAAAAGTGAGTGGTAATTCATTTCCATTTTTTGTTTTTTCTTTGTAGTAAATTGGAGCCACTGCCCTTCTGCTCCCCACGCTTTGGGATCTTCATATTAAAATACATATTAGTCAAGCTTCTGTTTTTGGCACAGAAACTTCATTTTTTTCCCCCAGGCATGCCCAGGTCACATTGTATCAAGTGGCAGTAACTGTGCAAAGAAATTTTGTACCAGGGGATTAGCCTTCAAGGTTATTTCGAAGGGATCCATTTAAATTGTAAATATTAAAATAAAAATACTCCGGGGAGACATTTCCCTCATTGGGTCTAAAAGATATTTACAGCTGGCGTTTTCTCATTCTAGGAAATCGTGTCATTATCAAAACAAACGGATGCACACTCCACCTGCGTCCTCTTCTTTTCTGACATATGTTCATTCAGAGAAGGAGTTTGTCCATTTGACCTCTGTTTTGCTCCCACAGACTTAGGGAGGGATGGACTAGTGATCTGTGCCTTTGCTGATACCCAGGTACTAAGTTATGCCTTTCAACGTGCCTTGAGGGTATGAACCACATATTCTCCATTATTTGAAGAATCTATTCTGCCAAGGCAGACTTGCAACTGCCTAGCGTATGCTTTTCGCAGAAAAGGAAAATGAGTTCTTTGCCCTGTGTTTATAACTTCATTTTTTTCCCCATTGCTGTTCTATTTTGTGTACTTTTGAACCAGTTCTATAGTCTGGTTACCTTTTTTTTCCCCATCGTTAGGTGCAGGGCACTTGAGGTAAAGTCAGTGTTCTTGACTTCTTGGTTAATTAGTTATTCCTCCAATAACTACTTATTACGTTTCTTTTATATTTAAGACTCAGTTCTAGGTGCTGCAGTATATGTATAGTATATACATTTTGAAACAGGGCTTTAGCCTTCAGGGAGCCTACTCTTTGGAGGTATGAAGCCCATGTAATAAAAAGCAGCAAGATGAGTGGCCCAGGTGACGGCCAAGCTGGCAGCGCCGAGCCCAAGGAGAAAGCTACTAGAGTCATTCTTAAGTTGAGAAGCATAGGCTGACCCGTGAGGGCGACAGGTCCGGGAAGGGGACAGACATCCTAGGAAGAGAGGTCTAGTAACCTTGGAGTCTGCTTACCATCTCAGTGGCTGGTTCTATCTCTGCAGTGCTCGACGGGGACCTTGGATTACATCTTACAGCGCTGCCAGTTGGCCCTGCAGAATATCCGTGATGAGGCGGACAATGGTGAGGTCTCTTTGAAATCCTTGGAGCCAGTGGTTTTGAAACACGGAGAAGAAATCCACAGTGAGGTAAGGACTTTCAAGAACTGTGAAGATTCTCTCCTACTTGCTAGCTAACAAGTTATTCGGCCACAGTTTGCTATGAGTATAAGAGACAAAGGATGGTTCATTACTTACAATAGCAGTAGCCAGGGCATCAGCATTTTTGTGCCAGTTCTCCAAGCCTCTGTTTCCACCGGGTAATGCACAGTGGGCTGGATAGCATGTGCACTTGGAGGGGTTGTGATCTAGAAGAGGAGCCTGACCTGAGGTAACCCGACTCTTCCATGATGGGCAGTAGACATGTCTGTCGTTTGCTCCAGATCAAGACACATCTTTATCCTCCAAGCCTGTTAGCAATCCTACCCTTTATTCTGGAGGGAGAAACTCTATCTTCCAAGCGTGTTCACTAAAAAGACATCCTTGCAATGAGAGTGTGAAGCAAAGGGCAAGACATGTAGAAACACAAACAAGAGACCCATGAAGGATAATCTTCCAGCAAGGACTGATGGAAACTGAAGGTGGATCCTTGGAGCAGGTGGACCCTTAGGAGCCTTGCCTTTTGTTCAGGAAATTAGTAGCGATTCTGCAGTCTGTGGGACCAGCATGTCTGGATCCCATGAGTCAGTGTTTCAAAAACTTTGTTAGTTTCATTAATACGTTTTCAATTTTTGCTCTGTCTTTGGACGACATATATTGTTATCTCTTCAGTACTTTTAAAAGAATCCACTCATTTTTTATGTAAATAAAATTTTTTTAAAAGGAAGCTTTATATTACCACTTTTAAGTGGAAAGCTGGTATCACTGGCCAAAAGAAAAAGTAACCAGAAAACTCTAGCCTGTGAAAACAGCAATGTTATACTATTCCAGCAGATGCTTTTGGCTGGAGAAGGTCCTGAGCCTACAGTCTCTATTCTTCACGTTAAGAAGGAAGATTAGTGTGCAACTTCCTACACATTGTAAGAGTCATTGAATTCTACACTGAAAATGGGTGAATTTTATGGTGAGTACATAATACAACCCCCCCGCAAAAAAAACCCCGTTGAAATGAAAGTCAAAAAGAGATTACCAAATGGTAGAGAAACTTTGAAGATTATCATCAATCAAAGATATAATTAGAAGGATTTGATATATATAGAAGGATTGGTGGAGAATTGGAATACAAAAATGTTCTCAATCATCTCAATAAATAATTGCTGAGCATGCGCGAGGCACTCTTTCTGGGTGCTTTCGGATATGTTGGTAAATAAAATAGACATTCTAGTGCAGGGAGATGACAATAAATAATAAACACACTACATCAGTTTATCATATAGTATGTTAGAAGTTGATAAGTGGTACAGGAAAACCCAAACAGGGCAAGGTAATGGAGACTGAGAGAAGCAGAGAACACTCCCGCTGACAAGATGTCCTTTGAGCAGAGACTTGAAGGAGGTTGAGAAAGAGAGCCATGTGGTTTTCTGGGGAACAGCGTTTCAGGCCGAGGGAGACACCACTGCAAGGGCTGTGCGGGTGGGAGAATGCCTGGTGTTCGTGGACTAGTTCAGGGACGGTCCGCGGTGAGTGGTGGGAGTGAGGCTGTTTGTTACAGGAGATGAGGTCACGGAGGTGGTGTGAGGGCATGGGGAGCCACAGATTGTATCAGTCGTTGGAGGTGTCTGTAAGGACAAGGGCTTTCCTTTTTACTCTGAGGGTAATAGCGAGCCATCGAAGGGGTTTGAGCAGAGGAGAACAGTGTTCCCACAGTGCCATGTAATATCTTTAAAGAGATATTTACTTACCTTAAGAGCTGCTCCACGGCTTGAATAGAGAGGTCTTGAATCTGAGTAACATGTGTGCCAGTCTTCTCTAATCCCCCAGTCTTTGATTCTTCAAGGTCATCTTCTTACTTTCAGAATGAGTTCCATATGTCAGGGCACATCATCAGATACCCTCCTTTGGCCATGCAGATTGGCATGCTCACGCTCTTCTGGGTTCCATTGTTGAATGAGAGCACAAATGTCTATAATCCTTTCCACGGTTCTTATTGTTTGCTTTCCTCTTTCTTAAAGGCCATGTGCCTTTGCTGGACTAATTATAGGATGAAGCCCTTGGTTTCATGTCTGCAGACTTTTGGGCTGTGTCGGTTTAGAAGTGGTTGGTTTTCCTTGTCTTAGATAGTTTCTACCTAAACAATTTGGGGACTTTGGAGATTGGAACTGAGTACTTTAAGAAGGTTTTTTTTTCCCAATTTAAGATGCTTAAAAAGATTTTTGGTGAGGTATAAGCAGAACCTTCCTCTGTGTTTATAAAATAGTCTGTTTTCCTTCTTAAAAATCATAAAATATGGAATTCAGTCTTGTCACCTAGTAAATTTCCCCTAGGAAAATGTACTATTTGATGTCATCATTTGGTTCTCATTTTGTTCTGATCAGACCTGCATCTTCCTTACAGCTACTGGGAAAGGGCTTTCATTGGGTAGCTCTTTGTAGATTGGACCTTAGCATCTCTTCCTGGTCTCATGTCTTTCTCCTTGAAAAAACCTATTTCATTTATTACAGTGAGCACTGACCCCAATGGGCATGTTCCCACATGGGCATGATGGGCATGATGCCCATTGGGCATCTCGAGGGAAATGCATAAGCTGACCTGGGACCAAATCAAGAACCCAAACTAACTTGGCAGAAGTAGGTGTCATTTGCTTACCTGTAAGACTGTTGGAAATGATTTCCGACTATACGGTGCTGTGGTGACTCAGAAATGCGGTTTTGGAATCTTACAGACTTTGCTCCCCAATGCCTAAGGGTCCAGTGACAAAGGTTCAGGTAGGTGGGTGGATTCTGTTTGTGCTTCCCCTTCAGATTTTTTCTAGACATTTCTAGGAGAAAAGCTTTTCTTTTTTTTTTTTTTTTTTTTTTTTTTTTTTTTTTTTTTTTTTTTTTTTTGCGATACGCGGGCCTCTCACTGTTGTGGCCTCTCCC